CACGCTCCGTCCGATCTCAGCTTCTCACGGTACACTTGGTCAAAATAGAACCATCTACCTGTTGATGATGAATCAGCGTCGGAGTAGTTCCTTTCTGACTCGTTTCAGCGTCTCCGTCGAGAACTACCAAACCTTCAGAGAGTCGTGCGTGGTTGGCTCAAAACAGAATTATAATCCCAAAAACCTCTGGATTCTTCATTGCTCTCTTGGACTCTTCATTGCTCTGAAACTTTCAGAACCGGCTGCACTCTCAATCTCTTGGAACTCCAAATCACTCTCCCATGAACTGGGAAGTTGCCACATTTTATTTTGGTCGACTTCCTGTTCAATTTAGAGCTTTCTGATTCGTGGATGTACCAGAAAGAGGTGTGTTTTTGTGACGTAAGTTGTTATCAAAATCAAGGTCAGGGAATGAATCTGTTTTCACATACAGAAAAGATTATTGCAGAAACAGCAGACTTTCTGGAGCCTACTCTTGGTAATCTTCTGAAAAAGTTTAAACATGACATTTTTCTCGGTAAACATTTTAGTTGACCGAAAACCAACCTTTCACACACTTACGACAGCTTGCTCATTTCAGACAGAAAATCAAGAAATGCATATTCAGGTGATTTCTTCTCTGAATGAGGAATAAAAATCATTACTTACTGTTTATGTAAAATAAAGATGAGTAGTTCTTTTCAACCTATAAGCATTGAGTGAAACTACCACAATTGATTATTAAAACATTTGTAAAACAGTAATGATTATAGAGGATTGTCTTTTCTGCTTGATTAATTCAAGAAAGAAAGTCATCAGATGGTTCAGACTTATTCAGATCAATGAAAATAACAGTCTCTGTCCATCTGGTAGATTTGAGGTCATCTGGTTCACTACATATAACACACTTTCCCTACTTTTACTCACAATGGAAGAATTTTAGGAAACTATTTGCTTGAACTTGCCCTAACATGGTTTGTGATTTTTTTTAATACATGTTTTCCTTTTAGCTGTAAAACTTCTGAATAAATGTTGCACCCAGGCAGTATCTAAATTTTCACAATGTATTCATGTTAACCTAATCAGCAGCTACGTCTCACATTGTTCCTTAAAATTAGATTTCAGAGTCTCCCCCAGATGTTTTACTCCTGGTAGTATCTTCATTCATCATAGCTAATAAACATAGTTCCCTACAATGTTATGACTAAAGAACAGGAAAGCCAAATATTCTTGTGCAACACAATATTTTCAAGTGCAGCCAAATGTTTGTTTTTTCATTATTTTCTCATTACAGACAACAGCATTCATTGCTCTTCTCTTCCCATTTAGCAACTAAAAAAGTCTTAATTGATATAAAAGTTCCCAAGAGGGCTGCAGATATTTACTGTACTCCAGCCAGTTTCACCATTATCATGGAATAATCACTTTCTTGTTTCTTAAACATTTATTAGCAGACTGTTGCTGGTGTAATACAATAAACATGCACAATAAACCTATCATTACTAGAATTAATGCACATTGTCCAACACATTTCATGCCTGAAATTTCAACTAAGATTATTTTATGACGAGAAATGACAGAGTTTTAGCCATTTCTGTCAAACTTTGTAAACTATGTTACATGCAGTCTCATGCAACATCTCAAGAAGTGTGTTGAATCTCAGAGTTCATGTTGAGAATGACTATGAGCTACTACCACACCAGATTTTAGTTAACTATCTGTATAAATGACCGAGTTAGAACTAGTTTTGTTTTGGCCGATTTGGAGATGTACATCCAGTGATTACTTTCTTGTACTTCCAGTAAAATTTGTCCAGTGGTTCAAAAGATATTTCATTTAAAGTCAGACAGTTTTCACTCCAACAGTTAATGCCAACGATTTTGACAAATACTTTATGCAATATGTAACACTCAGTATGTGTTGTGAATGAGTATCAGCTACTAAAAAGTCATGGTCAGTATTTATAAAAATGACTTGGTTTGTGCTTACACAGGTCAGTTGGCTGCAGGGGGCATCTGCAATTGAGCTGAAAGCAAATTGGTAATATGTATGTCCATGAATATTGTTTTTAAACTCCCACAAACCAAAAACATGCATGTTAGGCTGATTGGTAACTCTAAATTGTCCCTAGGTGTGAGTGACAGAGTGAATGTTTTTTTTGTCTCGTTTGTCTCTACGTGTCCCTGTGATGGACTGGAGACCTGTCCAGGATGTATTCCGTCTCTCGCACAGTGATAGCTGCACATGGGCACCGGTGACCCCCGCGACCCGAAAAGGAAAAAGCGGGGTATCATGGATGTAAATTTCAAAAAAATTCATCCATTTAGGATTCCTAGGTTTTCCAGCCACACTCACTCTCTCCACAGCTGCAAACCAAGTGCCATCAGCCACCACTCCACACCTGCTGCTGATAGGAATGCTCTGCTGAGCATAAAAGCTCCTGCCAGACGTTCTCCCATTACTGGGACATTACTTACCAACTGTGACTTTAAAGTCCTGCTCGTACGAGTCTCCCAAGACCTCCTCGCTCCTCGTGGCCCTCCTTTGGATGAAGATTGTCTCTTCAAGCAATTAAACAAGGATCTGAAACCAACAGCGCTCTTACCAGGAACAATATGCTCCTCTCTCCTCCGATGCTCATCTCTGGATCTCCACTCTCTCCCATGGAAAACCTAGGACCTCATCTCTTCTTCCCCTCTGGCTTCATCTACAAGACACAACAGAAGAATTCATCTACCATTTATCAACCCTCGCTGCAAATCTAATATTATAAAAGATGCTCACCTAGTCTCTTTTCCCTTCCAGCCCTGAAGCTGCTGCACCTGTAAATAAAATCACTTACCTTTTTGTACACCTGGCTCTATCTGCTTCTCCATCTGCCAACTTGGGGTCAACTCTGACTGTAAACACGATAATCCAGGTGTTTTGCTTACATGACAGAAAAACAAATGCACACAAAACACACAAACATGATCACCCTTTTGTTTTTGATTGTGGGCACAAATGAAACCCACTGAAACGCCAGCTTTAAGCAGCTGTAGAAGTGCACAAATAAAAGCAAACACTCAACCTCCATCTAACATTACACACATGTTGGGATTACGGGTGGAAACAAACATACCTGGAGAAAACCATGTGCTGAAGGAGAGCATGCACAGAAAGACCCCAGCCGAGACTTGACCTTCTGTGAAAGGTGGCAGCCATTGTTCCATTCATTAAAACCCAAAGCACTCCTCTAAAGTATTTAAACATCTAACAATGCTTTGTTAGATTCCTTTAAAATGAGTTTGAGAAACATGAATTGACCATTCTTTATTGAAATCTTCTGCCTCTCCTTGATAACATTTAAGTGGACATCAGTGACTCTACCTAATGTTTCAACTTGACTTTTTAAGTTGGCACAGTGACTACTGGATATGGACACCATCAACTCCTGCTACTTGGAAAGAAGAGGGTAAAAACAATGGATGACTGTTTAGACCTCATTAAAAGTGCTGCCCAATCCAGAAAATAAACACATTTTTAAGTGGAGTAAATCTTTTCTCACCACAATAGTATTGATAGCATAGCAAAATGTAATTTTGTTATGCTTCGGTGCAATGACATTAAAGCTGATTCTGACTTTTTATTCTCTCTCTCAGCTTGAGACATAAAGAACTGAATAATTGGGAGGATTTATGTCACAGCATGCTTTTCTGAGAGGTTTTGATGGACTGATGTAGACACTTGTACAGACCCACGAGATAAACTTTGTTTTTTTTCCTGCCCCGGTAGGTCATTAAAAACAAATGTGTGGATTAAAAAAAAACTAAAATGCATTAAAAAATACCTTTTTTAAACACATGACCTATGGTTCTGCCAGTCAGAAAAGGGTAGAGTGCCCTCTCCAGGTTGGGGGTGAGGTGCTGCCTCACATGGAGGAGTTCAAGTATCTTGTGGTTTTGTTCTTGACTGAAAGAAGAATGGAGCGTGAAATCAACAGATCGGTGCAGCTTCTGCAGTATTGCAGACGATGTGCTGGTCCGTTGTAGTGAAGAGGGAGATGAGGTGTAAGGTGAAGCTCTCCGTTTACTAGTCGATCTACGTTCCTTCTCTCGCCTATGATCACAAACTCTGGGTAGTGACCGAAAGAACAAATATCTGAATATCTAGTATAATGAATATCAGATCATATCCAGAATATGATCCTGACTACAGGTGATGGAAATTAATTTTCTCCACAGGGTAGCTGGACTCTCCCTTAGAGAGAGGGTGAGAAGTTCAGTTGTTCGGTAGAGACTCAGAGTAGATCTGCTGCTCCTCCATATTGAAAGGAGCCAGTTGATTTGTGCATCTGGTAAGGATCCCTGGGTACGTTCACCCGGGCATGTCTGACTGAGAGGATACTCTGGGAAAGACCCAGGACACGCTGGAGAGACTTTCGGCTGGCCTGGGAACACCTTGAAGTCCTCCCATAAGAGCTGAAGAGGTGGCTGGAAAAAGAGACGTCTGGGTCTCCATGCTGTCTCGTGACCTGACTCCAGAACAAGCAGAAAATAACGAATGGATGGATGACCTAATATAGTTCTCACAATGCAAGAGCTGGCAAACAGCAGGTCTATGGTTTATCAAACAGTTTTCTAGGATGATAGTACATTTAAACAAATTTGATCTTACAGATTTGTCCTTTCGTTTCACTGACTTATTTAGATATAGCTTCTTTTCCCCCCATTTTCATAGTTAAATGTAAATATGATTGCTACAACTTCTTAACTCTGAAAAGCCTAAAGAATAAACTGAGTCGAAGTGATTCCTGATAGAATGTTTCATGTCCTGTCGGGGGCTGCTCGGCTCCAGTCGGCTCATCTGATTGGTCCGCAGGCGCCTCCAAGATCTCGTCCTTTCTCGCGAGACTTCAGATTCTTCCCAGTGAGAAGCAGCCACTTGACTGACTGTATTCAGTCGCTGTTGTGGCTACGAGGAGGAGCACTCAGACTGTGTTTGGAAACCGTGGGTCAGCCTGAGGCACAGCGGCAGTGTTTTTAAAAGACCGACGTCTCGAAAACAACCAACTGCAGCCGTGTCTGAACAAGACGGGTAGTACGAAAGGTAAGGTCGCTATCGTCGCGTCCCGTTGGCTCCTCCAGACATTATTGTACAGTTTAACACCAGGAAAGCAACATTTAACTTGTCCCCCTCTTTTGGCTTCAGCTTGTCTAATATTTTTATTTTTCTTGCTGGAACAGTTTTACATTATGCATGCGTTTTAAAACACTCGGCGTGTTGGTTGGTTTCATTTTAAAGTAACCCCATCGTGAACGTAGGAACTTCAAAGCTCTCAGACTCAGTCTGTGGAATGCATATCCCTGTTAGCTTGCATGCTAACGATACATCTGCTTATTATAAAGTAGCCCGGCTCGATCAGTAGCTAGCTGGCTCTGTCTCCTGCCAGCTCCTCACAATAATATCAGTTTTCCTGTTCTGTCCTGTTGGAGTGGCTATGATGAGGTGGCAGCTTAACTTTTCCTGCAGGTAACCACCATTGACGTGTCTGCTGGTTCCCAGTGTGTTGTAGTAATTCACCTGCAAGCTGACTGAAAAGCTGGAGTGTCTCATTTATTCAGAATTGTTTGCCTTCGTTCACATGCTTCATTTCTGCCTCTGTCCTGTTGAAAACGAACTGAAAGCATGCACATTTGCGTTTGACACTGCCATACATAGTTTTAGATGCACAGACTTAAATTTTAATTTTAAGTGGTCAAACTGCTTCAAGTGCACTTCTCTAACCGAATTTTTGCATCGTGATTCATCCCCAAACAACCCATTGTTTTATATTTTCTAATAAATTCAGACTTCTTAATTTTTTTTTTTTTTATCAATGATGGTTTGGACAAGATTTTACTTTTTTCACAATCTCTCCTTGGCATCCTGAATACGTGCTACCTTGCTGTGTATATATTTGGAACTACTTATTGAATTAATTATATTGAATTGAGAAAACTTGTCTTATTAACATGAGTGGAAGAAATAGGGCAAATGTACCCGCTTCTCACACGACGATTGCTGGAGATAGTATTAGGCAGTGACCTGGAAAGGAGAAGCGGGTAAAAATAGTGGATGACTGGATAATCTGAATGGTATATTGTTCAAAATATTTCCCAGCATTGCAGATACAATGGGGAATCTTTCTTTTGCAGCATACTTGCTGTTAACACATTTTTTTAAAAGCCAGCATTTCTAATCCTGAGATGGTTTGGACATGTCCAGAGGAGGGACAGTGGGTATATTGGTAGAAGGATGTTAGAATTGCAGCTGCCAGGAAAAAGACAAAGAGGAGATATATGGATGCAGTTAGAGACATGGAGGTAGTTGGAGTGAGGACAGAGATGGAGGATGACACAGTATGGCACTCCCTGAAGAAGAAACAGCCAAAATAAGTATTTCTTATTCTAATTGTGATTTTTATTTGATTGCTGAATAGTACATATCTGAATACAGGCAAAAGTTCTTGGGTGTTTTTGAATCTTTTCTAGTACAGGCAAAAGCTTGGTCTGTGCAGAGGCAACACTGAATTTTTAACCTCAGCAGTCAAAATTATTGTAACTGTAGAACACAGAAATCAAATGTTTTTCTCACCTGGATTTAAAAACAATATTTTATGTTGCTGCACATGGAGGGATGGAGATACGGACTGGAAAATTAAATGAGTATAGAATCAAGTCTGACCTGCTGCCAGTCCAAATTTAATAGCATCTCTTATTTGCATAAGTAGCAGTCTGTAATCAGTTTGTGCCTCACATTTCAGCTCTATACAGAGAATGAAGCCCCCCCCCCCCCCCCACACACACACACACACACAGAGTGAGAAAGCATCCCACACCAGTAAATCTAGACAACAAACGATGGAGACTTTATTTGTTTTTTAACTTTTCATTATCTAGTATTTGTCTAAATGCATAAAGTCTGCCTAATATGTACAAACCCCCCCCACACATTTTCATTCACTGAACTGTGTCCCATAGTCAGAATGCACAACAAAGCACACCCACTTCTCACACCCAGCCAAAATACTGTGTGCATAAAATATATTTACATTTAAGCAACATATGAACCACAGTAGCAGTATACAAATGTTTCCACTTACTTATCACGGACGGCATCTTCTCCTTCAATAAACAAATCTTATTCCACTGTGTCCATAGAAGCTCCGCTTTTATCAGACATTTCCTGGTCGGGGGGGAAAAACCCACTGTCCCTTCTCCTGACCAACTCCACCACTGTGTCCCAGCTATATTTTCTCTTTTTGACACATTTTGCCATCTTTCAGTTGGGGTGGGTGGGGGGATAAAGTTTTGTACACTCATGGACTAGCAGGCTGTAATATTTATGTGTGGATTTCCTGAAGCTATTTAAGAACCCGTTTATGCTGTACATCACCATGCTGGGAGTTTGATTGGCTGCACACCTGTAGCATCAGAATCAGCGTCGGTGTTGATAGACTGATAAGTCAACAGGGCCCGTGGATGGGTCTGGTCACAAGTAAAATGTGATTTTTCCTTTTCATATGTCTTTTTAAATTAATTGATTTATGATCATCAATATGCAGCATAATTTGCACAACAGAGCCAAAGTACGTGAACAGTTGTTGGTTCTTTGTAGAAGTGGTTTAATGGCATGATAATCAGTGGTCAAACTGGTAGCTGTTTCTGCCTCTGAGCTGTGAGGTGTAGCCACTGCAGATCAGACCTGACACAACGTTTGGTTCATGTATCCCTCTGCAGACCTGCTTTCAGGAGGCAGTCCTGTTTATTGGTAGAACACCACAAACCTCGCAGTTTCAAGGACACTCCAACCCATTTATTTGGCTGGGCTGACTTGTGTGTAGTGAAGGTTGTGCTTCTTTATACCTACACTGAACATGTAGACAACAATAGCTGACTTTTCACTAGGGATGCACCGATCCACATTTTATTTACTTCTGATCCCGATCCCCAAATCTGGTTATCGGCTGATACCTTTCCGATATCATCATCATTATTGATTTTATATGAGGCTATAATAATCTCCTCTCAAGTACAGTTTGTACAAATATATGCACGCATGTCCAAAAAGACAACTTGAGGTAAGTTTTATTAATGTTGGATAAGTTTTAGTTAGAATAAAATCCTGTTAACGCAAAACACGTTTGTTTTTTGTTCCTAGCTTTAAAGTGGATATTAAGGTGATTAATTTAAGTGACTGTTTAGGTATTTAAATAAGGGGCAGCTATTACAATCTTTTTTTTTTTTTTCCTGCACTCTCTTTATTCAAGGTATTTTATTCTTTTTGGTGATTTTTAGTTTTTTTTTTTTAAATGAATGAATTATTAAAAATAATAATAATAATAACTAAATGGCCTTAAATATCTGCTAAGTTCATGGCATAAACCAACACAGACATGTTCCTGTTTTTAGTATTTTACATTTATAATGTAGCTGTTTTTTAAATTTTATATAATTTTCTTGTAATTTTCAGTTCTTTTTAATGATTGTCTACTGTTGTACTGATAAATATCTCCTTGGACAGTCAACTATATCTTGGCTGCAAGTATCAAGCTGCGAAATCCTTCATTTTCTACAACTGGTAGTGGTTGGTCATTAATTACGATGAAGTTTAGCAACTTCTCTGTAAACATTCGAGCTCCGTGGCTTCAGCGGTGTGTTGTTTTTGTTCAGTCCAAAGCAGGCAGCCTGATTTTGTGATAACGTGCAGAGCAGCTGGCAGGGACTCACATGAGACGTTTCAACAGACATGCATCATGGATCGGAAAATTCCGATACGTAAATTATGCTGGTATCGGAGGCCGATTTCGATACCGGACCGGATTGGCCCCATCCCTACTTTTCACCTAACATCTGGTTTAACAGCCTTTGTCATGTGCCTATTTTGAGAAACCGTCCAGATGACCTGACTGAACATTGTTGGGTTTGTACCTGGATTATTGAGCATGAACTTTGGTGTTTTGAACCATGTTGGCATGACTGTCTCAGAGGAGTTGACGGGGAAGAGGGCGGACCCCGGAGTCCATCTTAGCACCAGCAAATTTTTTTTTTCCCACTATAGAGAATGCTGTTTGTGGGATTCAGTTTTGTTTGGTGGCTCTTCAGACTGAATAAGTCCTTTGGATGAAGGACAAAACGTCTCAGCAACAAAATAAACTGTCCAGATGACCTGACTGAACATTGTTGGATTTTTACTGGATTATTGAGGATGAACTTTGGTGCCATTTTGAGAGAGTTAACCGGCACGTAAGGAAATACATTTTCCAGGTTGTCCAGCAGACAACCTCTTAGAACAGAATTTGGTTGTTCACAAACTTTACTATACAGAAGGCAAAAATCTCTAGAAAAATGTAATTCAATAAGTGTACTGCTTATTGGTTGTAAAATATTGTTATAAAACAGAATTTAAAGCAGGAATAACTAAACAAAGCCAACACTGGCCAATAAATCAACCTGACCAGTTGATAGCTTGTGACTTATTAAACTTGCAAACGACTATAATTAGTTTATTGATTTATTTGTGTGAAAATGATTTTTTCTAAAGAAAATTAAATTTCACTTATCTAAATGTAAATCAGGACTGGTCACATGACCTGATCTCTATTCAAATCAGTGAACTGTAACACATTAACATTAGCCCCATTTGCTTTTTTTTTATTTCATTAACCATTGCTTATGATAAACAGGCTGCGATTTTTGTTTAAATCGGAGGGGCGAATGAGAGGTGTTGCATGACGTGATTTAATTGTGTGTGTGTCTGTGTGTGTTTGTCATATATTAGTCTGTTCTCATCAGTGAATTATGAATTCCTCATAAGAGTGATGTGTCACACAAAGACCATAACGTCTGTGCTAACATATGAACAGCTGAACGAATAAAGTGAGTCTAACTGTCTCCATTGGCGCTGGATTCATTTTTGAGGTGTGTGTGTGTGTGTGTGTGTGTGTGTGTGTGGGGGTGGGGTCTTTCGTCACCTTGCACTCTGTTCATACGCACCTTGAATGCCAGGCGCACATGTTCAATTTTGCCACACGATAATGTAAATGGGTACTTTCACAGTCATCATAT